CCTTGTGTGCAGCTGACTAGCTGAATATCACTGGATGATGTCATATCTGAAAATAATTTCATAGAAGAGAAGCTTCCAGGTTGAAAGTTTGATTTGATAATAATGCATTAAGCATATCCCCATGTGCTTTCTGTTATTAATGTTTGGTTCACAGCTGCAGCCAGAGTCAAAACCAATTACACAAGAAGATAAGAAGAAAGGAATTTCTAGTAACAAACCTGAGTCTGCTGTTGAGTCAAGATCATTGAACAGAACAGAATCTTCTCCAGTAGAGTCTTGGAGTAATAAAGATCCAGTGCCTTCATCAGGTGAATTAAATGTTTCGAGTGTAATCTCAGGGCAACTTGCAAATCCAATTAGTTGACTTTATTTTGTAGTTACTCTTGCTCTGAAATGGAGCAGACTGTCACTGCATATTATTCTTGAGAGTATATTCTACACCCTCTCATTTAATACATATTTCAGAGCCTCAGGGAGGAGATAATTTTCTCACTCTGGACCCTGTCACAGTATCAGAATTTTTATATATTTGCTGTTCACTCAATAATGTCTGAGAACTGACATTAATGAAAACCAGCTTCTTTTGTAGGCCAAAATAAGGAATAATTCCAATGCAAAACACACAGAAATGTTTCAATTTGGATCATAATTAGAAGGTTGAAGTCTCAAATGGAGTTCTTGACTTATAGCCTTTGCCAACAGTCCAGAGATGACACATAGTGGAATGAAAAAGAGGAATGTGTAATTGAGAGGTGAAGCATTGGATTTTATTTTGCAGGTTTTCTGCAGGGGTTCTTTGTGCATCTCAAGTGGTTGAGATGATCAGCTAGATCATGTGACAGCCTATTTACATACAAATATTTGATAGTCCAATTGGTTACAGAAAATAGTGGAATTGCCTATTAAAGGAGAACTAAATTTGTTTGAAAATACTGTTACTTTTGTAAGGGCAGTTTCTGAATTTTGTTACTGAAATCTGTTACTTCTCTTTATTGTGTTCTTTACCAGAGCTTTTTTTTTTCCTGGAAAAGAAGCAGAATGTATTTGAATGGGGGTTTTAATATTTTTTTTTCACTTAGTTACATTCACATCTTTCCTTTGCACCTGTATTTTTTCTGATTTAGTTTGTGGAATGCTTTGATGCATTTTTACATTTGCTTCAGGCCAGACTGTCTTTAATAGTTTTGTGTAGGTAGATCTCTTCTGTCTCTGCTTTCACAGGTGGAATTAGTTCATGTCCCTAATATAGCCAAAAATATCCATGCCCTAAATTAATCTGTGTTGTCAGAGATGTTTATTTTCTCTAGTCCAAATGGGGCAAAGCTTTCAGGAGAACACAGCACCCTTTGTTAAACCAGGGGATGTAGCTGGAAAAGAAGCAGCCCAGGAGCAGGAGGCACAGCCCTGGAAAACCTGCCTTAATATTCCCTTCAGTGCTGGAATTGCAGTGTCATTAAACCTGTCAGTCTGTGCCTTATCAGTCAGGGTGAGTGTGAGGGCTCAATGTTTTAAAAAACTTAGTTCAAGGCTTTTGGAAGTGATGAAGTGAAAGTAGGTAAGAGTGTTTGTCTTCATCTGGAATTCTTACCATCTGGCAGCAGCTTCAGGGAAGATCCTGATTGGGCTGGTTTTGGGAGACAGCTCTGCTCCTGGGAGCAGTGGGGCAAGAAAGACTGGAGATATTTTCCATGCCTCAAACTTCCCTTCCTTTCCATGTGTAAGGCAAAGCATCACTATTTCTTCTCTCACTCTGCTGTATTCAGGAAGTGGTGTTGGAGAGAGAGTGGGAGGAAGTCCTGCTCTCCATCCACTGCTGTATGCTCATAATTCCAACCCCTTTGCCTTGCCCAGAGTTTGAACTAGAACAGACAGATTTTGATCTTTTGCAAGTGTTTGATAATACAGAAATTCTCAAAACGTGTCATTAAGTTTTTTTCCCCTACAGCTCAAATACATGTCTATTTTTAATTATATTTTTTAACATCTCTAACAGGAACAGTGAAGACACCGAAATTTAAGCCTGATCCCAAACTTATGGACCATGGACAGTCCAGCCCAGAAGATGTGGATATGTACAGTACTAGAAGCTAAGCCAAACCTGCTTACAAACTGCAAAATGTCACAGATAAGGGGGAGGGAAGAAGGGAAGGAGTAATCCTTACAATACATATTCTGTGAGGTATAATTTAATCAGACATTTTCCTCTCTCAGTTTGCATTATTGACTTCCATGATTCTGTTCAGTGCATATTTTATTTCTGACTGAGAATTCACTCAGTGTCAGTGCCATTAGGGAGACACCAAGAAAATGAGGTTTGTCAGTGTCTTCTCCCAGTGAGGTTTCTCTGTGCCAAACTTGTTAATAAATGTCACTTCACAAAGGATATTTGGAAATGTAAACATATCTCTGCTTCGGCTCAGATGTTCATTGATCTGAAAGAGGAATGTGAGGGATGGGGTTTGCACAAAGGCTTCTTTGCCTTTTTTCTTTCAGCTCTGGAATGAAGTGCAACTTCTTACTGGTCTGAGTACCCCTGAAAGCTTGTGGTTATATTGTATGAACAGCATTGTTTTTAATGCTTCTGTAAACTTTTTTTCACTGCAAAATAATTTGATGTTGTTTGCCTCTTTCACAAAGGTGAATGGAAACAGCTCCTTGTCCTGCTTCTGATGTTTTTAAGTGTCACTGAAGGTGGGAAAAACACACAACTGATCTCTAAACATCCTTTATAGACCGTGAATCGCTTTTCTCCTGCTTCTAATACTTTGAAGAACTGTGTGTAAATTGCTCAATCCACGAAAGTGATACTGAGATTATATAAAATCCATTAGCAACTTTTAGGATGTTGGAAACCTGTAATTTCAAGGTGTTAAGTGCTGACAGATATTAAAAATGCAGAAGTAAGAGACAGCCAACTTTTTCTCCCCAGAACTTTGTATGCAATGCCCATTGACCTTGGGAGGATTTCTGTGATGTTCTTTTTCCATAAGAATGAGGTTAGAAATTCATTAAGTTTTCCTTAATGATGAAACTATCAAACATTACATTTATCATTGTGTTTATTGCTCTAGTTCTGTTCATCCTCCATTTCTCTTTATTCTTTTTTCTGCCAATTCATGATATTATGGGCTTTGCTATAAAGTAGAGGTGGAAGCAAGAACAAACTATGCAAGCAGATAGGCTAAAACCTGAAATGCTGCTTCATATGGATGTGTTCTCAGCACTGGGATGTGAAGGGATGTTTGCTTCTGTTCTCCATGAGAAGAGATTGTACAACCTGATTCCTTCTTCCAAGGCTGCTGATGCCAAGGCAAATGACTGGTGACATACAGGGAAACAGAATTCCCAGTGTCCCTGTGGAACCAGCAGGAGTTGTGAGGAGGTGCTGCAAGGATGGAATGTGCAGAAGGCACAAGTGGTGAATGAGCAAAAGAGGTACTAAAGCTTTTGTGATGGTTCAGAAACAGATAAGAATTGGTATTTTAAAATCCAAATTTCAGGCAGAATGTCAGACTTTGTTACACAGGGTCCACTGGAAGGTGAAGTCAGTAAATGTGAAGTTTAAAGAAGAGGAATTCTATTAGTTCAACTTGCTTGGGACAGCTGACTTAGGATTTGATGTGTTTTGTTTCTTTAATCATCTCTTAAGGCCCAGGAATTCATGCAGCAATCAGAGGATATTAAATCAGTCTTCAGAGAGCTCCTGGACAAGACACATTTAGTGTTTCATCACAGAGAAAGGAGTAGGAAAATTAGATGGCTGGGCTTCATATACCATTTCCAGGGAAACAGGTGAAGACATAAGGCAGGAAGTGGAAATGGTGGAGAAATTATCATTTTCAAGTGCAAGACCAGATGGCAGAAATTGTAATATGTCTCCCTGTGATCAGGTTCTGGTTAAAAAACATAAAGGAAAACCCATCTCCTCTACTCCTCGATTCTGTTAAATTCTACCTGCCCTTTGATGATGTGCTACCACAAGTCAACAGGAAAGGTAAGGTGATGCAGATTTGGTTGGATTTTGTAGGAGCTTGCTGTGGTGAGATTTTTCAGGATATAGTGAAAAACTATGACTAAGGGTAATAGTAATAATATAACTAGGACTCCTGGGAGCAGGGAGAGAAACCACTTTGCTGTTAGGGAACCAGCATGTCTGCCCTTTCCAGGCAAAGAGAAGTGCCAAAAGCTGCTTTGGGCCTTCCCAGACTTTGAGGGCATTTCCATTCCAGCCTTGTGACACCAGTGCAGTGTCTGGTCTGCACGAGGTCCTTTGGCTCCTGGGTGGTTGGGCAGGCAAGACTCAAGTGTTCTATGCAAACAGCTTGTGTTACACCCCCTGATTCTGCAAGTTGTTCATGCTGTGCATGGCCATGGTACACAAAGCTGTCCTCAGGCTGTATTTCAGTCTCAAATTACTGCTCAGGATAAAACTGTAATAGACCTACACCTCAGAGTTAAATCAGCATTCCGAAGTCTTACATACATCTTCTGGGACATAACCTAAAATTGTTGTTCCTGCCCACTGTGATGAATGAGCAGGATGAGGGATGCAGCCCTAGAGCCCACAGAATGGTGTGCCTGTGCTGAGTCATTTCTTGGTGGGTAAGAGCTGTAAGCCCAGCCCAGGGTTTCCCAGGTGGCTCCCCCATCCCTGGAGGTGTCCAAGGCCAGGTTCTTTGGGGCCCTCAACAACCTGGTCTAGTGGAAGGTGTCCCTGCCCCTGGCAAGGGATGGAACAAGATGGTCTGTAAGGTCCCTTCCAACCCAAACCATCATTATCATCATGATAAAGATGATGTTAGTGTCACTTCTTAGTTTTTTCATCAACTGAGATTTCTCCTTCTCATCCTTCTCTACAAGGCAGGGTAATTTTCTGGTTGTTTCATTTGTATCAACAGTTTTTGTTTAATATCCCTCCACAGTTGAAAAGCTGGGCTAAGATTAGAGGCTTGGGTTTTAGGACTGAAACACATCCAGCTGAATGTGCAGCCAGAGAAAGTGGGACAAAAGTGTGGAAGGTTTTGTATTCTGTGTGGTGTGTTCTGTGCTTTCAGGTCAGACATCTGAGCCTCCAGGGTCTATATAATACTCTACAGGTGACTTGTTCCAGGTAACTGCAAGCAACTGTAGCCACATGTCTGTATTAGTAATTTCTAGTAAAGGTGCTATGCAATGGCTTTAAAAAAGCAAATTCAGATCTCCATGATGCCATGGCTTGTGAGTCTTCAGTGTAAATATGTGCCTGACTTGATCTCCTTAAGACTTCAGACCCAATAGGCAAATCTGTTACAATAAAAATTTAACATAAGACAGAGGGGGACTGTCTTATGCACTGGTTTTATTAATTTATAGTGAAACACTTTGAAATGTCTCTAAAATGTATCACTTAAAGTCTATTTCATAATGCAATAATACAGTAAGAACATATACAGTAATTTTTATATGTTACATATTTGTGAGAAATTCAATGTCTTAAAGAACTGGGTCACATGTATTTTATAATACAGAAATAGCTTTAATGCATGTTTTTTAATTTATGATTGATTGTATTCGATATAGGGAGATTTGGAACTTGTTGATATTAATTTTTTATTTACATAAAACCGATTTGTGATACTTTATTTTGTCATATCACTGTGAAGCACCTGGAAATAAAGGGTGATAAGACACTTTTTAAAAATTAAGTTGAACTTCTGTCTGTTGTCTCATCTGTAGGACAAATTGTCAGTTCTTTTCCTCTTTAAGGATTAATTTGGTAAATGTAACTAAGTCACACCTGGGGAAACAATTTCACCTGGAAGTACTGAAACATTCCTGGGAGAAACCACTGAAATAACAGACAGGACATATTAATGCTGAATGTCTTACATTTTGAGAAGTGCTTCCATTTTCTTTCCTTGGTGATTTCTTTTAAAGAATTCTGTAGCCCAGGACTTGGAAAAACAAAGGCTTTTATCCATGCTGGAGGAATGGCTCTTACTGTTAAAGACTGAGGCAGATAAATGTATTTATCTCGGTGTGGCTCTGTGCTAATCTTCCAGGTAAAGTCATTTGCCAGGCCAATGGTGTAACCAGTGTGAACTACTCAAAAGAAGACAAACTGTGTGAGTAAGAAACGTGGCTGTTTTAATGGCACATTGTCATTGTGATTCTTCAATAACTTAGGAAAGAATTCCTGCGAAGGTATTTTAATGCATCAGTGTAGTTACATTGTAGTGAAAGTTTGGAGTGTTTTTGAATCACACTGAAATACTGAAAATGTATTTTAAATCCAAAAAGAAAGTGGGGTCCTACAAAGCCTTTACTTTTTATAAAGGAGTATCAGTATGCACTAGACTGTGTGTAGTTTTTATTTTAAATTGCAGGGATTCCACGAAGCAAAGCTCAGCCTTGTGCTGATGGTAGACTGCAGTCAAGAAGGGCTGTGATTGAACACATTGCAGAAATCAGCATTTTATTTACCCTACCACAGCACTGCTGTGCTCTTCCTGTAGCCCAGAGCCAGAGTCCAAACCAGAGTGGGGTCCTGAGGTCCCTGTGGGGCAGAGTCCCACCACCCTTGTCCAGGGTGCAGTTCTTTGCCCTTTTGTGAATGGCTGTGGGAGATGGATTTTTGCTGCAACAACTGAAAGGAATTGCTTGTGTTTCCCTTGCTGTGAGCAGGGAGTAGGTCTGAACTGAGCCTGTGCTGGTTCTAAGTGTTGGGAACCCTTCCTGTGCTGTATCTGTAGCACTCCCAATACCAATATTTGAGGAGACTGTAGCTTGTGTTCTGTTTGCACCCCCCTCAGAACCCCTGCAATGCTGCAGGAGTGGAGGGTGTTCTCCAAAGCCATCTTGAACCACATCTAAAATTAATTATGAGTAGAGCTAATGAGCAGTTGACCATCTTTCACCATTAATTTTGGACAGTAATTTTGCTTTAGTTATAGCTCTGTATTTGAGGAAGTGAGATCAGTCTAGATGTACTGTACCTAGTCTAGTCAGAGAATGCATAACTTGGCACTAGGTTCTGCTGTGTTCCAGAAACTCAGACAAGAGGAGGAAATGGGTGTGCTGTGAAATAAAAAGCTCACAGCTGTGTAGGTCTGTTGGCACTGGGTTTATTTGTTGTTACCCAAGTGAGCACTGAAAAGAGAAACCTGATGGGCTCTGCAGCCCTTCTGTGGGACCATGTCCAAACCCGCTGTGTTCATAAATGCCAAAGGTGTAACAAAGTCACGAGTTTGGGGTTTGTGATCTGCTTCATTAAAACACCTCACCCGAGTAAAAACTGCAAATTGCATTTCTGCATCTTTGAATGAAATCTCAAAGCCCCAGGTCAAGGTGTTTGTTCCTCACCCAGCCTGAAGCGCCGGCACTCAGCAGCTGTGAGCTGGAGCCAGAGCAGAATTCCCTGTGAGCCACAAGAACAAAGCATCTGTATGAACTGGTTCTTCACACTCCTGCCTTCATCTGAAGAAGGATCATGCAATTTCTTTTACTGAGGTCTGTGTAATTTCTCTGTTCCTGGGTGTTGTACAGCAATCTTCTGGCAGAGCTGAGAATCTCTTATCCCCTGCTGTAGAATTAAGTGCTGTTGGGCTTTCAGCCAGAGCATTATTCTTTAAAGAATTTTCTAGGCATTGATTTTCAGAGATCATTATTTATCCCCTGAAAGGTAAAGGTTAAAGTTTACCTTTTGCTGTTAATGTAACTGTGGTTGGCATGTTTGCATAAGCAGCCAGCTCCTGTCAAATTAGGAAATCCACATCGGGATTTTATCAGTGGTGGAAAAACTTGGAGGGCACCATCCTGAAAATACTTGTGCCAACTGAAACTGCAACACAGTTCCCCTCCCACAAACTCTGGGCTGTCCTGTATCGTGTTCAGGAGGACAAATCATTCACATAGAAGTGACCACATATTGAAGACCTCGTGCAGTGAATGTTGAGAATATTAGAGAGACAATCTTTAAATAATAAAAAGGCCAGATGACAGTTTGAGGGTGTGCTAAGGTATCAGTTTCTGTTGTCATTCGTCCTTGCCAGAGGGGGATTTTCCATTCTTTTCTCATAAAAGTGAAAAATTAACCAATAAAAATAATGGTAGATGCATACAATGACAGGATTCCCTCCTGGCTCCTGTCTCATCCCTGTTAGTTGGCTTCAGGATCATGGCTTTGGCATGTCTTTAAAAACAATATCTGTTCCAGGAACTTTGTCTTCAAATACCTTTTACAGATAACACACTTGGAATGTAACATAACCCTAAAAGGAGAGTAGATAAATGCTCCTGACAGATACCTCAGTCTGTTGAAACTTATGTCCTTAAATGAATACTTCACATTATGTATTCAAAAATTCAGAGGTAGCAAGATTAATGAGACATTTTTATGGAACTACCCAGTTTTCGTAAAAGAAAATATGCTGGATAAGTTATCAGGAAGTTTCTATCAGCTTTTAGTTAATTAGTAATTCTTCATAGAGAAGGATGCTGTAAAACAAGCTCAAAATCCATGATCCTTGACTCTGCTACAGTAGCAGAAAGGAGAGCTCATTCTGCTGCTGGAAGAATCAGTGTTTTATCCCAGTTGGCTCCAGGATGTCCTTTCTGGAAGTCTTGCTCTGTGTCCTGTTCCTGGCCAGCGGATCCCTGGGTGAAAAAGGAGCTCTAAAACGTAAGACATGGTGGGATTTTATTTGATTGTCAGGAGAGGGGTGTGTCCATGTCCATCCACTGTGGGAGTGCTGCTGTGGCACTGCAGTCCCAATGGGAATTCTCCTTATGCCTTAGGTGGAGTTTATTTTAAATAACAGGAAAACAATGTAAATGGGGAGACCTTTGACAGCTGCCTTCCTGTGTGGTGTCATAATTCTTGAGTTCTGTGCTGCCAAGGGCATATTCTATAGAGACCTAGATGTGCTCTGGCTTTCACCTGTTACTCTGTCCTTCTGCACATCAAAAAGGTCCCGACCATATGAGTTACAACTGAAATGCTCAGGGTTCTGGTGATTTTTAATCATTTTGAGTCAGTCTCTCCATGTCAAAAGGATGTTTTTAAATGAGTTGAATGCCTTGGTTCTTTTTCAGTAGGAATACTTTGTATAGAGGTTAAAGAATTACACATTCTTTTGAGAACAAGTATTCTTAGATTTTTTGATACTAACAGAGAAAATCATCAGTAATTAAGAGCATGACAACAAGAATGCATTGAAAGCAAAGTAGTTTTAAATAAGAAGCTAAATAATATGGAATTATCTCTGATTCTCTTATAGTATAAGGTATTGGTCGAGTATTTTTTTAATGGGAGGATTTTCTACTGATTGATTTTATACATTTATTTATTTTATCATCACTGTTCTTTACCTGGTAGCTACCAGTTACTAGTAACCAGGTATCACTAACCTGCCAGTGATGGAAACCAGCTGCAGGTACTATTGTCTAGTTACTAGTTTTCGTTTGCGATCTGGGGAATTTTTTTCTGCTACTTTAGCCTTTCAATCACCAAAAAAAGTTCCCACTTGAAGGCTAACTTTGCATTTATATAGACTCAAGTCCTGTGAAGGGCTCAGCAGTGAGTTCCTCAATGACACGGAATATTAGAGCATTAGTGTCCAAGGGCACACACTCCCTCTCTCCCCAGCACAGTCTCAGCTGGTTATTTTCTGCTCCCTTAGTATTTTTTTGAAACATTGCTAAAAGAATTGTGATTATGTTACTGTTGCTTATCTCCTAAGCCATGCCAAATGCTACTTGAGACTTCATTGTTCTGTGCTTTATAGGCGTAACATGGGATCTGTATTGAGGTTGTCTTGGAAAATGCTTCAGTGCTTGATGCCCTTTTGAGAGAAAGGCCTGCAGTACATGAAAATAGATTTGTACAAATGCAAACCTTGATTCACTGTGTAATCATTTAGATTTATCTCTGGTTAGCAGGAAATGTTGGATTAGATTGCCTTGGAGACGGGGGAGGAAGGAGGCTCCCACCTCTTTTTGAAATCAAGACTGCTCAGAGCAGAGTTTCTCTAGCTAATAATGCTTTAGTCAGGAGTTTGTAGTGCCCCTGTTCGTGGTGTGAAATCCCTCTCACAAAAGCAGCAACATTAGGGATGCTCTGATACTCCTTGCTTCCAGTCAGTTCTCTGGGGGGCTCGGAAGGATCTGCCCAGAGATCTTTCAGTTCTGACTCTCTGGCTTCATTCTAAATGTGTATCCTCTCACTGGGAACAGTTATGACAAATTATACTCAGCTGTGTTGGCTCTTTGGGGCTCTTTTTGAGTATTCAGGTTGTTGTTTGGTGTTGAGTCCAAGTCCTACGTGGGAGAGAAACAGGTAGCAAAGAGTGCAGGGTGTGAGGGACAAACCTGGTGATGTTTGATGTCTGCCTAAGGCTGCTGAGGAAGGTGTTTTAGCCAGTCACACACCTGTGGATATGTGAACACTCAGCTTCTGGATCATGATTTACAGGCCACAATGTTTACACAGCAAAGGAGACAGATGAGAATTGAATTAACACAAACCAGATCCTTTTGTAGGCCAAAATAAGGAATGATCCCAATGCAAAACACACACAAAGGTTTTAATTGGGATTATAATTAGAAGGTTGGAATCTCAAATGGATTTCATGACTTTCAGCCTTTGCCAGCAATCCAGAGGTAATACACAGTGGAATTCAGATACAACCACACTTAAACAATGTGATAAAAATCATCATAACACACAATTTACTGGCCAACTGGGAGATGGGTGCACATTCAGGGTAAAGTAATTTAAGCAGGTAAATCTTCATTTCTCAAATAATTTCAAAAATTTCCAGGGGCAAGGCACTGGAAAGTAAGATTTAGTATCATCTAGAGTATGTCATGAAGCTTAAATTTCTGGTGCCATTAGCAATCCAGCCCAGTGACAGTATGTTACTGGATAATTGCATTAAGTACTTGATTTGTTTTAATTCACAGCCAACTGCAGTGGAGTTGAGGACTTTGAGGCCTGCCTGGGTAACACAACTCAGTTCTGTCCTAGTGATTTTCCTTGTGTGTGTAAAAATGAAGAACCCTTCTGCAGGTAGGGTGTGGGGTTGGTTTGTTTAAATATACACTGTGTAAATGTCAAATATATTCTTGAGGATGAACTAAATTTAGACCCTGCAATGTGATCCACGAAAGTAGATGTTGATCTTCATTCACAATCTGCATAAGTTTATAACTCTGGTACAAAGCATCTGGGCTCAAGAGTTTTCTTTTTAAAAACAAGTAATTCCCAATGTAGGTAATCACTATAATCCTTAATTTTCACATGCTCCTTCTTGTCTCAGATATTTTACTTTAGAACTGCATTATCTGTGTAATGGCACGTTCATTTTTTTCCCCAGGTTGATCAAATTTTCTTTAGAGTTAAAAAACCCCAAATAGGATACCTTAATGTTCTATTCTCCATTACACAGTTGTTTTCTTCCTTTTAAAAAATCAGTGTCGTAATGACAGATATCACTGTCACGTTTCACTTACATCTGCAGAGTCTGGAAATTCAGCACCTTTGTCATGCTTAGAGCTGGCACAGGGATCTTTGCCCTCAGTCATGCCATGACTTGGGTACTGCACCCTGTTCCCAGAAAAGCTTATTATCTCCTCCTGAAATGCCAACCTGGACTTGTTGCCCCAGAACCTGGCAAAGTGCTTTTGCATCAAATCTGGAAAAAGATGTGTGTTACTAAGAAAAGTAACACCTTCAGGCAAACTGGAAAAGTAGTGAATCTCTTGGCCCCTGCAGTATTCAGTAATAAAAAATTATATAGCAAAATATTTTACCTTTTTTGGGTATTACTTACTTTTGAATTAAAATGGTGTTGCTGAAAATGAGTATTTTTATTTGCAGATGTAGTTACTTCAGAGTGGGCTGGAAGGACTACTGGTACATGGGCCCCAAATGTAACCACCTTTGGAACACTCTAGATTTCATTTTAGTGGCTACTGTTCCTGCAGTAACACTGGTTATCATAGTGACTGTAATATTTTCCTGTTTCTACTGCTGTAAAAGTGAAAAACCTGGGTAAGTGACTTTGGGTGCAGATAGAAGGGGTTTTGTATGGAAGGAAAGCAAAAGGAGTCTGGTATTCTGGTTAATTTTTAACCTCTGGATATTTAAATGGACAAGGTTGCCCTGGAGCATCCTCTGCAATACTGTTTGTACAATTTAAAACTAAATCAAAGCGTTTTCCCTGAGCACTCAACACTTACTCAGCATTTTACTACTACGTGTAGAACTTCACTCTGAGTCATTGCCTCTTTTCTTCAGGGCTTACCAGACAAGCTTTAAAGATTGATAAGTCCATTTGCTACTTAAACTCCAGACTACCAGCTGTGTCTTTGTGATTTATTTGCTCTTAAGGATTGGCTTGCTTTCCACAAGTTTAGTAAAAAAGGAACAAGGCCAAAACATTGACAAGAGTTTGGGCAATTAAACTCAATTCCTCCCGTTCTTTGGTCTCCGACTTTGGCAATTGGAGCTGCTTTTTGCTTCCAACACTTTTTTCCCCCCACTGATACCTCTCCCAAGTACATAGACAATATGGGGTTTTTTCTTTCACTGAGCCCCAGTGTCATAGAAAAGCTGTAATAATACATAGCTCTTGTACAGCCACTGCCACGGGTCATCTGAAGCTGTGCCACAGCTGTTGAACAAATCTACAGGACAAAAAGATTTGTCAAGACCCTCAGCACTGCTCATGTTCTAAATTCCCACTGTTCCCCCCTGCAGGAAGCAGCCAAACTCTCCCTACCTTGAGGCCCAGCACAACCCTGCCTTCAGTGCTGACACACCCGCCCACCTGGGGCACAGGTACCCACAGCCACCCAGGGTAAGAGAGGGGGGGCACACCACGTGTTCCTGGGGCTGGGGGAGCCAGGCAGGGGGGTGTGATTCAGAAGAATAGTATATGAATAGCAAAAAGAAAAGGTCATCTGGTAAAATTAAAGGTACTCCAGGTTTAAAATCTCCCCAGTATTTGATTTCCAAGATCAGCTGAATGCACGTGAGAAGGTGAAACTCTTCAAGATTGCTGTGAGACAGAGTAGAGTGTTTTATAGGACCACCTTTGTAGTCTGTGATGGAGCTGGGATTTGAGTTTTGGTCTCCAGAGGACCAGCTGCTGCCTTTTGGGCCAGGGTCACCCTCTGCTGGGCCAGTTTTCTCCATTAGACAAGATGTAGTAGAGATCGTTGCTTGAACTAATGGAAAAGATGGATAAATGCAGTTAAAAACCAACATAAAATAAAAAGAAACACGAAAGGGAGTATATTTGTGTGTGTTCATTTGCTCATTCAGTAGTTCAGGTGATTATTTTACATATTAAGGAGTGTACAGGGTGTGACAAGAATACATTGTGGGCTGCCTGAGAAAAGAAAGAAAGGAATCTGTTCTGATCCATTATTTTCTGTTAAATCTATCTGTAAAGCATCATTATCTTGGCAATGCAGCAGCCTGATCCTGCCTTCACCAGGAGATGGTGCTGTTTAATTTTGAACTAGTTCAGAATTTGGTTCAGCTAATGCTGTTTTCAAGCTTAATAACTGGTTTACTTAACTGTGCAAAGACTTACCTGGGTGGGTGTTCCTCTGTTATATCTATATAGACTATATAATATATAGTCTATAAAGACTTCTCTACTGAGTCTTTTAGATAAATTGAATTTATACATTTGAAAATGTGAATATAACAAACATTATGTTTTGTAAGTGCTAGATTGGTTTATAACTTCCAACAAACTGTACCTGGTGAGCTGGGGTTTGTCATTTGTTGTCGTTTTGCTCTGTGTAACCACCTGATCCTCTCCATCAGGATCAGGATGGCCGGGGTGGACAAATTCCGAAAACTTCACTGAGAAGACAAGATTTTGATGAAATCTCAATCCCAAGCCAAAGAGGGAATTACAGGTATGCTGCTCTTTTTCTGTATTTTTTGCTCATTTTCACTCTATATTTTGGCTTGGAGACTCAGAATGACTTTGTAGCTTTGCCAGTGGCACAGCAACCAACAAAGGCCCAGTAAATGGCAAAGCTTTTGACTGGACTATTCACATACACTCCCATACATAAATCCTAAAGTACTGATTTATCCAGGGGCTTCTATGGTTTTCCTCTAATAATTCCAAACATATTCCTTTTCATTACTTTCAGAAACACACTTTCCTTGGTTGTGCTTCCTCACTTTGACCCTCCCCATTATCCAGCCAACTGTTGCAGCTCCTACCTGCAAGTTTTGCAGAGGTGTTGCCTCAATGCAGTAGTGAGCTTTAATGTTTTTACATTTCAGTTTAAAGGAACACTTTGTGCAATTTGCAGGGTATTATAACACAGGTTTTTAATAACCTTTTTCTCTTTTGCACAGTTCCATGTATTCTCAGCCCCCGAGGAGACCAGATCCAACCACAGACCGCTTCTCTCTGCCCAGGCCCCAGTGGGAAGGATTTGACTATCCCAGAAGGAATTTGCCTCCTGCAGATTATGCAGGGGGCAGACAATATCAGGTACATATTAATTACATACCTATGCATACTAATTACATACATATGCATATAGATTATTTATCTATATGGTGCTAAATAGAAATCGAAGCCACCTTTTCCTATGCAGGTGTTTTCTTCAGGAATTTTACAGGAACTGACCCTGCTGAAATGTTTTTAAATATTTCAAAACCTGTTTCAGTTTGTGTGGACACAGTCCTAATACATTCAGTTATCTGCATGAAAATCACCTCCCAAAGCTCCTGGTGAGTGCACACTCAGGAGCAGCACATACTAACAAAAGAAATACATATAAATGCAGTTTAATTAGGTCAATTATTTTAATAGCAAGCAGGAGGGTGTGTCATGCTACTAATTTAATTCTAATATCTTTACAGAGATACTAAGAACAAGTGCTCTCTATATCAGAAATACCTTGGAATGCTGCTGATCACTGGGTAATCCAGATGCTGAGAGAGCAGTGAGACCCTGTGGACACAGAGGAATTGGCCATCGCTATTAGAAAGCACTAAAAGTTATTGCAAAGAAAAGGTACAGAAGATAATTACAAACCAAAACATGATATTACATGATCTTAGCACCTGATTGTTTACTCTGTAATTGGTGACAACTCTTTGTGAACGCCTGACATGACAGTTCCAGAGCTGCTGCTCAGTATTGCTGAGGTGGTTGCACATCTGTTGGGACACAGGTTCTTTGGGATTAACCTTGTGCCCTGTGCCTAAATGACAAGGAGTCCCTGTCACAAGAAGCTGCCTCAGAAGACACTCATGCTGTTTACAGGGCCATGAATTTCTCTTAGCTCTAATTTTGAAGATTCTTCAGGGCATTGTAGCAAGTAGAGCCTGCTGTACCCTGACTGACATTGCTTTGCTTTTCCCCTTAAAGGCCAATATTTAAAGAAAGAAAACAAAAAATTACATATAATTCTGAGCTAGAATAGTTTGCCTTTAAAACTACCATGGCTTTCTTTGTAACTTTTTCGGTAAATGATGAAAATAAATGAAGCTGTGGAAGATTGACCACCTTGCCACTAACAAATTAAAGAGGCTGAAGTCCTGGATTTATTTCCCATTTTCCAAAAAGTCTGAAGCACATTATACTGAGATTTATATTAGAAGATTCTTTTTCTTAGTGTTAGGTAATATAAGAAAGTATAAGACAAAACCAGAATCATAAGGTTTTTAGAAAGGTTAGGGTTTTTTTTGTTTGGTTTGGTTTTTGTTTTTCCCCCAAAGTCACAAATACCCAAAGTAGGCAAGTTTCACTGGCTTTCACAACAGTCTGAAACTATTGAGGGCAGATTTGCCAACTGTTAAATCACTAGTGCTGTCAGAGGAACTTCTCATGGATAGTTGAAATCACAGGCACAAAAATTCATCAAAAAGAATCCAAAGATTTTCTGGATGTGGACTGCTTGCAAACATGCATTGCAATGTCTTCTGAGAGTGCAGCCAGCTTAAAGTAATGCTTGTGCTTATCAGTGTTGCAGGTTAAAGCACAAAGAAGCTGAATGTTCATAGTGGTAACACCTGCAGAGCCAGCTTGAAGCAGCATCTTGTGCTGGAGTCACTAGAGGAGGAAGAGGGAAGGATGTCCCTGCTTTTACTTGTCTCACCCACTGTCCTTTAACAGGCATGTTCAGTAACAGCATCCTCCTGTCATCCAGCTGGCTTTCAATTTCTATCAGAAATAAGTGAAGTGAGAATGGTTGCCTCACTGTTATCTTCAGAGACACTCAGAAATGGTGTTGGCACATCTGTTTAGATCCCAGGCAATCAGTTTAAGCCCTCTTGACCTCAGAAATTTAGATCTGAAGGTGTCAGAGAACTGTGTCAGTGAATTGCCTTTCTCTGTCCCTTCTCAGCCTCGGGAAGTGCCACAATCTGACAAACTGTGGTTGTTGTTGACCTCGATCCAGCTGTTTTACCAACCTCAGAGTGACCACAGGATTCAAGAGTGTTCAGTTTGATATTCCACCACTGCTTTGAAAAGGAATAGGAGGAAGAGATAAGGCAATGCTGTCACATATCCATGGTGCTGGTGTGGGACCCCTCAGCTCCCACTGCCGTGCTGGGTCCGTGACGGGGGCTCAGGTGATCCCACCCACAAGGCTCTGCCCCCATGGAGACCCCTGGACATGGTGGGGGCACCAAACAGTCACAGAATAGTTGGGGTTGGAAGGGACCTCTGGAGGTCATCCAGTCCAACCCCCTGCCAAGACAGGGTCACCCAGAGCAGGTGACACAGGAACATGTCCAGGTGGGTTTGGAACGTCTCCAGAGAGGGAGACTTGACAGCCTCCCTGGGCAGCTGTTCCAGTGCTCTGCCACCCTCGTGGAAAGTTGTTCTTCCTCATGTTGAGGTGGAACTTATTGTGTTTTAGTTTATGGCCATTGCTCCTCATGCTGTTGCTGGGCACTGAAAAGAGTCTGGCACCATCCTCCTGGCACCTGCCTTGGAGATATTTGTATGGATTGATGAGATCCTATCTCGGTCTCCTCCAGACTGACCAGGCCCAGCTCCCACGGTCTCTCCTTGTAAGAGAGATGCTCCAGACCCCAAATCATCTTTGTGGCCCCTGCTGGACCCTCTCCAGTAGCTCCTTGTCTCTCTTGTGCTGAGGAGCCCAGAACTGGACACAGCTCTCCAGATGTGCCTCACCAGGGTGGAGCAGAGGGGCAGGATCTCGATGCCCCCCAGGATCCCATTGTCCCTCCTGGCCCCTGGGCACAGTGCCAGCTCATGGTGTGGTCACCCCATACTGCCCCAGGTGTGTCTAAGCAATCCCCTACTCAACACCCGAGTACACTGCAAACTACCTGGAAACGCAGCTCTGGGGTCTGGATTTCTCCCTGGCTGCCAATGAATAAAAGGTGTGCCAAGCCTTGCCTAAGTCCTCCTTTGCTCATATTTGTACAGCAGGCTCTGAATCTTGTGACAAACAGGAATACAAAGTTCCCAAAACAAGTTCTTATGCTTGTCATGAAAAGGTTCATATCTGTATCCTAACTACTTTTATATATTAAAATACTATTGTTTCAACCTCATATAGAATCTCACATTTAACAAAAAAAGTAGGGGTTTCATGCTGATAAAAGAGCTCCACAGAACCAAAACCATGCTCCGGGCTATTTAAAGGTTGGGTGTTTTATTCAGGAGATTATTTCACTGCCCTCCAGGGTACAGGTCTGGGGGGGTGGGTCCCCGTCATGCTCTCACTGTGCCCCCAGGGGGTGTGTGCGGGGTCACCTCTCGGTCCGGCCCGGTCCCCCCGGGGTGTGTGCGGGGTCACCTCGCGGTCCCCCCGGGGTGTGTGCGGGGTCACCCCGCGGTCCCCCCGGGGGTGTGTGCGGGGTCACCCCGCGGTCCCCCCGGGGGTGTGTGCGGGGTCACCCCGCGGTCCCC